GTGGGCGGGGTCCTCCCCACTGTGAATTCACGCTCCCAGCTTCCAGCCCAGCAGAGCGATCTTCTCGGTTCCGATTTCAAGTCATGCATTCGCACCTGGCCGGTGGAGATCTCAGGGCGCTAGGGGAATTAGGAAAATCGCTCCAGAAGCTAGGACTGCGAAATTCACAGTGGGGAGGACTTTGCCCACTTTCGATTTCCCTCCTGCGTTAGAGCCCTTCTTTGCCGTTTTTGCGCTTTCCAATGTGGATTTTCGGATTCAGCATAGTGAATAGCCCCGGGTAACCACATAATCTCAAATCGACTTTTTTGCCCGGACACTGCCGTTAAAGTAACAAGTGAGTGGAAAAAGTTTTATGTCCTTCATGAAGTCTGAAATAAGTGTTTCTTTATAAACTTATACAAACGCTTTAAAAATCATGGAAGAAGGTTAAATTCACCAAAATATTCGCTAATCAAATGCTTCCAAATATCGGGTCGATGCGAAAATTCCTACGTAAATCAAATACAGTTTGTTAACTCTTCAAATCATCAACCAAAATTAAATTCTTAATTTGTATTTGAAAATAAAAAAGAATTGCGTTACAATATAATTACGCAAGAGTTACTGAAATGGCGCTAGCTAACAAGAGAATTTCTGTGCAAAATTTCCTACTGGCAATAGTCCATACATTCAACTACTTAGAGATATAAGCATTAGTGCTGATAGACAAAGAAGAGCTAAAGTAGGAAATTTGCGAAGCCATCTCTTGCAGATTCGTAGTTTATCCTACTTAAAAAATCCTTTGGGTTGTAGTGTAGTACAAGGTTTTTTTATAAAATATGCATTTTGATTCACAGATTGCAGTGCAAGTCTAGCCGAAGTTTGCGTTCCACAGACAGCTCTACGTACGAACTTGATTTAATGCAGATCCGCAGAATATTATATGAATTTTATTTTTGGAGGTAATCTAGAGCATAGCCATCGATAATAAATGGTTATTTTGTGAGGTGTAACGAAGTGGGAAGGAATAAAAAATCCACGTGACTGACATTGTAATATTAGGACAACCTAGTTAGATACCGACCACCTAGTGGAAATGAGTTTGCAAGAGTGAGGAAACAGGTGGAAGCAAGTTGGAGAAAGGTTTGCTGAGGAAATTTTGTATGGAATGGATGGATTCGCGAATGCGATATCTTAGACTAAATCCATTTTATGGTGCGAATGCCATATCTTATCGCACCTGGACTAAATCCATTTTATTCGCACGAAAAGTCCATTTCGCGGGGACTTTCGTGGATATCATTCCTGGATAAGGGTTGTTTACGTGTGAGTTTGTGTTGTGTATGTGTGTGGCGTGTGTGTGCGGTGTGTGTGTGTGGTGTGTGTGTGCGGTGTGTGTGTGGTGTGTGTGTGCGGTGTGTGTGTGGTGTGTGTGTGCGGTGTGTGTGCTGATGTGGTGTGTAGTGTGTGTGTGTGTGCTGATGTGGTGTGTAGTGTGTGTGGTGTGTGTGTGCGGTGTGTGTGTGCTGATGTGGTGTGTAGTGTGTGTGTGTGTGCTGATGTGGTGTGTAGTGCGTGTGTGTGTGTGTGTGTGTGTGTGTGTGTGTGTGTGTGTGTGTGTGTGTGTGTGTGTGTGTGTGTGTGTGTGTGTGTGTGTGTGTGTGTGTGTGTGTGTGTGTGTGTGTGTGTGTGTGTGTGTGTGTGTGTGTGTGTGTGTGTGTGTGTGTGTGTGTGTGTGTGTGTGTGTGTGTGTGTGTGTGTGTGTGTGTGTGTGTGTGTGTGTGTGTGTGTGTGTGTGTGCGTGTGATTAAATAACCCCAGGTAAGCGAACATTTGACTGACGTTGAGATTTGCCGAGCCACTGCCTTTAAAGGCATGTCATTTTAAGTAGAAACTTGATGAGCAATTTTGGAGTTCACTTTGCATGTTTAACATGTTTTACGACTTTCACTTCTCACTCCAAAAAGTGCAGTTTGAGCCTTAACCACCTGTGTCGCGCCCTGGATAGGGCACATTATCAATCTGCGAATGTCAAACACGATATGTAATCTGCGATTATTGGGTTTGAAGACATCCAGCAAATTGCCAAGTCTCTACTGGAATCGCTTGAAGTACATTTATGCCTTAAACTTATTTTTTGGTGATGGTTGCCTCGCTAATGCATCGCTTCCTTCTCGCCGCAAGATGTAAAAATTTACTTCCCCTTCTACATGACGAGGAAGATCGGACAGTGATGGATGCCTTTATGTATTAGGTTGTCTCATAAGCTTTTTTAATTTGGACTTTCTGAAGCAATAACTCACACATTTTTCAATTCTGATCGAGATGCAGGGTACCGTTCGATAGAGCAAAGCAAGCTCTATAAGATGGTTTGTAACTGCTCATACCAGCTTCAGCGCATCACGAATTAGAAGCTGAAATCTGAGAACTTTTGGATGCTTAAAAAATCAAGAAATTACCATGACTTTGTTCAAACAAACCTTACCAGATTACCAGCTCGCTCACGCATATACACTCCACAGAATACATATGTGCTGTTGCTGTGTTTGTTTCTGTGCTAGAAAACGAGAAAACTAAAATTTCCATGCTTTCAAAAAAGCGATGCTGCGCTGTTTTCACACAGGTAAATGTATAACAGGCCTATAGAAGTACAGTCACAAATTTCCAGCTTTCTATAAGCTATAGTTACCAAGAGTTATTAATTTCAATACGTAATACCTTAGCAAAAAAGCTAGATTCGGTATTTCTCAAGAACAAGCGCTTTCCGGAAGCTGAAAATTTACCAATGTATTACTGAAGGCCTGCAGTATACAGAGTGTTTGGAAAGTTCGTGCCCTCAAGTACTTCCAATTCGAATTTTGGCGCGCTTTTTGTTTTAGTGCTCATCAGGCTTAGCTATCGTTATCTCAATAAAGCCAGGTTTCTTTGTGGTTTTTTAGATTTTTTATTAGATTGAAACACAACAATTAGCTTTCCAAACCACTTTCCTTGAAACGTTTGTTACAAGGAAGGAAACATAACTCACAAAAAAACCTGGTAAACCTGTTGAAAGCCTTTCAAGGCTTCTCACGTTTCCTTCTATCTTCGTAGATTTGAGCTCATTTTGAAATACCGTGCCTTGAAAGACGAGAGATCCAGTTTCAGGATTCTTTCGCCAAAAAGTCCAGCACCAAAATTTTCATATTTCTTCTTCAAAACCTTTGCAAGCGTGCAAAATTTTTGGAAACGTATACAACGAAGGTCAGAGAGTTGTGCTACAAATACACGTTGAAATAAGACTTCCAAAATTTTTTAAACTGAAAACACTTTAACGCAAACTGGTGCCGCGATTCTCTGCTGTGATTTAGCACACGAAAAAATCTTCGTTCGCAAGCTACTGAGAACTTTTATTATGCAAAGAAAGTGTAAATCTAGGACTATTTGCAGTAGAAAAACGGAAAACTGTTTCCGTTTTCCGGCGTTGAAAAAAGTAGAACAATTCAGATAACGCACTCTTCCGCTTCTCCAAGGAAGCTGAAAAATTATTTACTCCAAAAAATTTTGAAGTATCTTGGGGCAAAAAATTTTTTTGTTGATTCATTGGTTTCTAGGTTTAGCGAACACGTATAGCAAAAGTCGAGCTTGCATTTGCAGTTGAAGTACTTAAGGTTTTCATACACCCTGTACATTTACCTGTGAGAAAACAGCGCAGCATTGCTTTTTTGGAAGCATGAAAATTTTAGTTTTCTCGGTTTCTAACAAAGAAACAAACACAACGACACATATGAGTATGTTGCTTGGAGTATATATGCGTGAATGAGTTTGGGACATAGTAAGTTTTCTTTGGGCATGGTTATGAGGAAATTTCAATTTTTTTGCATCTAGAAGTTCTCAGATTTCGGTTTCCAACTCGTGCTGTGCTGAAGCTGGTGCGAACACTTACACGTTATTTTACAGAGCTTGCTTTGCTCTATCGAAAGGTGCCCTGCATTATAATCAGAATGGAGAGGTATGTGAGTTATTGCTTTAGAAATTCAAATTTGAAAAAACTTATGAGACAACCTAGTATTAAATTGTCCGGAAATTGAGCTGTTCGAAAAGTCGAGAAAAATCGTAACTGAATTCTTAAAAATCCTGCAAAAATTCTAACTTGCTCACGTAGACGCTATCCACTCATGACATTTATATACGCCTTGCCGTATTTTTTCCTCTGTTAGAAATCAAGAAAACGGAAATTTTCGTGCATTTGCTGAAGGTGTGCCGTCCCCACATAAGTAGTTGTATACTACAAACCTGTAGAAGTACAAACTTAATTTCTCAGCTCTTTAAAAGCTTTAGTTCTCGAGAAATATTGAATATAGCCTTCCTTAGTCAGGTGGTCCAAGTTAAAATTTAAATTTCTCGGGAACTAAAGCCGGGGACAGCACATCATTACTTTGGCAGATGCACGAAAAATTCCGTTTTCTTGTTTTCTAACAGAATAAAAAATACAGCAACGGCGTGTATAGATGTCTTATGTGGATAGGGTATTCGTGAGCAACTTAGACTTTTTGTAGAATTCTTATGAATGGAGTTACGATTTTTCTTGACTTATTAGGCGACTGAATCCTTTTAGTTTTTGGTTTGAAACTCTAAGTGAATCACAGCTGCTGCCAAAGCAAGATAGCCGTCTTGTAGGGCTTGCTTTGCTCTATCGAATGATGCTTTGCAACCTATTTAGAAATGAGAAATGTATGACTTATTGCGGTTGAAATTCAAAACGGACATTCAAGCAGAGCGTAATTTTGAAAAAGTATATCGTTTCAAATTTTGATATTATATTTACATATGTATGGATTTACTTTTTTTTATTGATTTTTCAAAATGAAACCTGACTTATTCAATAAACACACCCAATGTTTTTCGGAATTTATACGAGACCTCCTCTAGAACTATCGAACCAAAATAGCTGATTGAAAGCAAGTCTTTTTTATTAAGTCCATGCAACATTATGAATTCGAAACATCATGCCATCGTCCTACTTCCTGCAGAATAATTAATTATTGCGTCAGCTGCGGCAGAGCTTGAGGAGTGTGCGATATAGCTGTTGTGGTTGTGATGGTCGACTGCCTCTTTAAAAGGAGATATGGTTTTGACAAAATTCTTCGAAGTGGCTGGTTAAATAGGACGAGTATGATGCTGCAAAAGATGCCGTTAATTTGACCAACTTCCGTATATCTTGTTTTACCTATAACTCATGTAGGCCAGTTCCCAGTTTAATGAGCTTGTCAGAAATACCTGCAACCTTGTTGAGGCAAAATTCAGAAGCACAAGATATGATAAAGTTGCCAGTAACAGGACTATATTCTGAATACAGCCCTAAAAATATCAATCAATGTATTCTGGCATGTGAAGATAGGCATGCGTCTTTGCAAGTAGTTAATGCTAAATGAAAAGCAAGCGTGGATAAGCGGACTTATGAAACTTTACCTGTACATAGAATAATATATTCTTCTTCAGCATACGTCTTTCGTGTTCCGACTGCGTTCCATTGCTGTAGCGTAAATTCTGAATGCTCTATTCAGCTTACAGTCTATTTGAGCAACTCAAGCAAATTGTTTCCCCTCAGCACTCTTTGTGGCCGCGATATAAGGACGTTGTGCAGTTTCATTGTTATGGCTCTCACATTCATACCTTCACAAGACTGTTACTTTTTACTTCTGTAGCTTTTCAACCTAAAACCAGTGGCCCTTTTGCTCCTGATGCGAAGATGGTGTCCGAGCGATAGAGCACTTGGAATTTTATGTGAAAAAAAAAGAAATGTTCTGTTATAAGCATTTTTCTTGCCCGAGAAACTGTACACTGAAATCTCACCCAAACCGTACTCTTCTTTAGAAGACCAACCAGCATTTAAGTACACTGTCGCAGAAGATTTTGAGCTACTTATTAGCTTCTGCTTAAACAATGGCTCTTCAATGCCTCCTTCACATAAGAAGTCAGTCTTGCGATGTGACCTCACCACAACCTGTAGCGTACTTGTTGAGGAGGTGACTATGAATACGATTTAGAGTGAGCGTACATTGCAGTACCTAACAATCGCATTATGAGCATTAATCACAATCCAAGATGGTACAATTCATGTGCTCCCAACTTCCTTTTCGGAATGGAAAAAAAACGCAAAAACACAAAAACAGCCATTCGCGCACTTGCCTTTGCTCCTTTCCATATGCAGTAAAATGTTATTGTGTCAATGATAAATATCAGGGCGCAAACGCATATCACATGAGCACCAACATTGTAGTAAACTGCGATATAACCGCAGGTGGTAGCATGAATATTCCATGAAAATGTCGTTGAGTTAAACCATAGTGAACAGTCATCTTCAATCAATGATTGGTCAGAATTTGGAAGACAAGTGCGTTGAAAGAAGTCTATGAATTATTGTAACTTAATGTGGCAGAGCGTAAATTCTACACATTGCGCACCCATTCTGGATGCGCGATCGTTGGCGTACAAACTTCAAATTCCTCACCAAAAACTTTCACTGATACATGATTGAGTAAAAACTTACGAAAGAACGCTAAAAAAGCACTTCTCGTAAAGAAATTTCCTTACGGCTAGCGACTCCGGAACACGCGTGATGGGCGGTTTGTGCGCACGCGCATATTAGGATACGAACTGACAATTACTCTGCTATATAAACGTACATGTGCTGAATACGAGAGCATGAGCAAGAGATAGTATACAAAAGCTGCCAGTAAGGTAGATGAGTCTTTTTCCAGCAAAAATCTTACTTAAATGAGAAATCAGAGCAGTTCTTCATGTTTGATTAGCTATCAAATAGTTGCGCGCTTACTTGTACGTTAATGGCCATCCAATTGCCACAAGACGATTTATGGCTATTTGAAAATCACTATATAGTGAACAAAACCAGAAAAAATGATAAACTTGTCCTATTCTCGATCCAATAAAAGTATCTGTGATTGACGCATCAAGCTGCCTGCAACGGCATCAGTAAATCTTGAAACATAATCTCAATGCCAAACTGTACAAAATTGTTGCTGGTCCGCTCCAGAGTGAGCAAACCAGCAGTTCTCCCGTGTTGGACATCAGATGCAAAGTACAAAGGTAGCCGAAGGCGTTGTAGAATATTGGTGTGCGTATGATGGCCAAAATTACGATGATATTGATGCTCACGCCCATGACACCAAGCTAAAAATATCGTGCGACAATGTGTTATTGAGTTCAGCTTCAAGTTATAAATAAGCATGTGAGGCGATCTCACTGATGTCAAAAGCACTCCTGCGACGATGTACTCATGGGGCATGGCGGAAGTAGAGTTGCTGCTCATATTTTCTGAAAATTCACACCAGAAAACCGCAAGAAACACGCATAGATGGTTGGTTTACTGAAAATCAAATGGTATAGCTTAACATCCTTCGTTTTTGGGATAGGATCAAAAGCCAAAGATTTCTGTGAAAGCAGCAATGAATGTAGGGGCCTGCATGATCGCGAGAGTAGGGCGTGCGTACGGCCATTGCGCCGGCACGTCCGAGCCACTAAGGCAGGGCCAGACTTATCCTGTTTGAAGGCAGCGTCCAGATAAATCTGGACATATGGGATCTCATTGGATAGTAATTTCGGGGCCCCTAACTAAGCCACTGAACTGGCACCAGGTAGTGCTCTAACGGCTGAGACATTTCCCTCGATACTGGACCCCAGGATCTATGCGCCTGAATTCATGGCGCAACCCATCTTTCGCTTGAGGACCCACGCGTTGCGCCATGAATCCATGCGAAATAGATCCTGGGGTCCGGTTTCGAGGGGAATATCTCAGCCGTTAGAGCACTACCTGAGCTGCTAGTTATACAGTGCTTTAGTTGGGCTCCAAAATTATTTGCCACGTTAAACCCTCATAGGTCCAGATTTGCCTGGACGCTGCCTTTAACTGGTTCGTCCGGTTGACTCATTCGCTATTGGTCAGATCAATGACCAATGCACTGACCAATAGCAGAGGGGGTGACCGAATGAACCTGTTGAATAGGGTAAGTCTGGCAAGTACCTGAGTCGTGGGACGGACATTGGACGTGCGCGGCGTAATGGCCGTACGCACGTCCGAATCTCGCGATCATGCAGGCCCCTTACGAGCAATTATTGAAAAATGACTGGTAGAATGCAAGCCATAAGCCTACAAGCGTTCTCTAAATTGAACAAAGTCGTTGGTCCTTGTTACTCTGCATAGATTGACTCTGTGTTATTGCTATATCAGTGTTCCAACTAGAGACATAGGAAATGAATGCAATTGAAGTAAGGAAGCAAAACAGGAAAAGATTCAAAACAACATCCTGTTTAATCGTTATGCGTACGAAAGACATCAATAAAACACTTATTGGCATGGCTCGGAACGAGGTGGCTTTTGAAAAACGCAAAAAAAACGAAGTCTTCTTTGACTTTTGCTAATTTTTACAAAGTCTTCCTTGACCCTAGAACATAATCCCTGAAGAATTTACAAAAAAAACGAAGTGTCGTAGGAAAAAAACGTACAAATTATTTGTCTTTTCGGCCACAAAAACAAAACCTCCTTTGCGTTTTGCCCCAAAAACGATATCCAGCTTGCTTATAAGCAACTGCCGAGCCCTGCTTATGGCCGGCCACTTATCCGCCGCTTATCGGCTATCCCGCGGATGCCGATAAGCGCTCAAACAACACCCGCGGATATTCCTACAAACGAGAAGCATCGGTCAAGCTCTCGCGGCTGTCCCGCAAGCATAGTTGCGATAGGGGGAGTGATGGATCTTACCCCCTTCACTTTGAGGCCAAATTCCGGATGATCCCTTTCACTTGGACTGAGGTTGGTGTTGTACTCTGAGAATATAAAATAAAAATAGTTATTAAAAAGTTTTGCAGACTAAGTACCTCAAACAACAAGCGCACTCATAAATTTACAATAGAAACGGTAGTTATGTTTATTCACATTATTTATTTATAAAAAAAAGCATCTACAGAAGCACAAACCCTTTCCGAGCATTCATCAATACGTCCCTGAGCGTTACAGTTCCATGAAAATTAAATCTTATTTTAGTAATATAATCAACACTTCTTTGTATTGAAGTTACAATTCTTTTGGGTATATTGCATTATTGCTTTTCTATTTATCATCAACGGAGCGGTCGGCGAAAAAAATCGACTTCAACGAATTACGATTTTTTTGATCGAGCAGCAAAGTTGATCCGAAAATTACCTAGTGAAGTTTTGCGTGTAAATACAGTACTTCTTTCAAAAACAAACTGAAGACACTGAAACTGAATGAAATCTTTACAGATAACCTTACGACATCCGTTTGGCTTTGATGTTAGCAATATATGAATAAATCTCTGCTGTGATTACCAACCAGCACGGAATGACAACTTTTGGAATTTCGTCTTATTCTGGATGCTACTATCCATGATAACTCATATTCCATCATATTTTCGGCATCTATACTGTTTAAATTAGCTGGCGTGCGATTGAATTTCTATTTCATGATCATCTGAATTCCATATACCCATTGTGATTTTGTGTTGCTTTTCAACACTATTCACTTATATTTCTTACTAACCCATATCTATCATCATGCTAGCTCAGATACAATCAACAACTTCTCTTTTTCAATTAATACAGCCTGATGACTTGCTTACTCTGATTTAACTTAGAAAATGCGATATAAAGTTAAGTTGACAAGTTATTAAGTTGACATATTCTCGGAGCTTTGGACTCTCCCCGGAATCTTTTAGGCAAGGTTAATTATTATTCCACAAACTTGGCCTTGCTTTGCTTATTCTATTACTTCGAGAGCATCTTTGCTGGCAAACGTATTACATGAGCATGAGCTCCATAGATTAGAGTTTAACTTTTCTTCCCTGTCGCATATGACTTTGTCGTATACTACTACCTTTGCCATTCAATTAGAGTCATTAGACTCTTCCCAATGCATTGGCTTAGCGACAACGGAACTACTATCGAAATGTTTACTTGTTGGAATATCTCAGGATCGTTTTGCTGGCAAATAATGGGGGCATGAGTGCTATCTCCATGATCACATTCATTCAATACTGAACTTGTAGTCATTTAGCAATCACATACAGGCTGTATTGTTGCGTTTACTAATTTATTCCAAAGAATTTGACCTGAACTGCATGGTGATCTATCTATTCTTATGGTTAGTTATATATAACTGTGTGTTTTTTTTCGTTTGTAAGGAACGCCAAGAGCGTATTAAATAAATAAATAAATAAATTGCGGCGGTAAGTGAGGACACAAAATCAGTTGGTTTTTTGAAGTACATAAAATCCCTCATATCTCGCGACACAGAAGACCTAGAAAAAAGGCGACGGTCTACGTCGATTCTCCACGATCTCAGCTTTCGAATGGTATAAAGCATGTTAGGGCTTCCTTGCTTCCGGGCTCTAAAAAGCACTTGCTCCGGTGACCGATAAAAGCCGATAATTGGTGGAGCTGGGTGGAGCAAGCTAATAGTAAAAAATGCTGTAAGATATAGGAATCTGCCAAGCTT